TTGGAAACATCTGAAGAGCACTACTTACTGCATAGTCCAGGGTCGATGTACACATCATCGATGGCAATATCTGAGTATCCAGTCTGACCTACTGTGCCTTGAATGGTGAGCTGAGATTGTCATAGGATAATGTTAATAAGGCAGTTTTCGACGGAGCGTCCCAAAAGGAAACAAAACAAGACTCAAGTAATCCAAGCAACCAATCAGAGCAAACATTTACCTTGTCTTTAGCCAATGAGAACTCAAAGTGGGACAAGCAACATGCTTGAACCGCGAGAAAATCCGAAAGTACAAGTCGTGATTGGTTTTAGTTTTGCATCCGATTGGTTGAGAGGACATCGCAAGTTTTTTGGACCAATCACAAAGGAAAGTTTAGTCTCAGTCTATTTGTAAATTGAGGGAACTAATCTAAATTTCAATACTAATACATGACGCTGTGGACTTCTACTAACTTGTTGGTGAGACCTGAAAACATCATACAGTTGTTAGAAGCTTCGCCGACGTGTTGAGCAAGGCGTTATTTGAATTCATCCAATGCATTCGTCGCAAAATCAGATGAGTGTGCAAAGCAGGTTGGTTCTCAAATATTTCGGTTACCTGAGCTTACGTTCAACAAGCAATAAGATGCAAAATGGTAAAACATGGCCTTGGGGTAAGAACACTGTCTATTTCATCCTAAGATTCAGCCCCCTCCCCCCACCCCCCCTGAAAAATGATGGGTGCTTGTTGTAAAACACTGCTTGAAGATATCGTAAAGGAATTAAACGGGGAGGGGGAAGGGAAATCTTGCAACAAACATCCTTACTTTATATGACAAGCCCATGGAAACATCAATTTTTCCCATCCCTTTCTTCCAGACTTTGCCTTGGTTACCATTCTTGTAGAAAATAAACCAATTTTTGCCGTTGGATAATTCCAGCTTGATGGCCAGACTAGCCATCGTACTACCGTACATGGTGTAGTAAAGCTTAAGGCATTGTCCGCCTCTCCTCGCCGCAGTCCAGGGGCTCACAAGGTCTGCTCTTTGTCCAGGGCGGGTTTGTGAAGATTCCATGTACAGGTAGAATCCTACCATAACAACAAAAACATGCAAGCGAGAACTGAATAACTGATTGTACTGTACGAAACGATGACCAATAAATAGCCAAGAAATATGATATTACTGAGTAACATGATCTTTCACAATCGCCAAGCTTAAAATTTACCATCTTCATTTAAACAATATTTAAGC